ACGATATATTGCTAATACAGTGTCACACTAATTTTCAATATGAAGTATCTTTCATCAGCTTCATCAAACATCATCTTGTGGTCTAGTTTGTTTGAAACATTAAATTACAATTGTTTACCATAAACTAACAATGAAATCTACGATATTGTCTAGACTGAGACCTTGACTAAAACACATGACACAGAGATTGCAATAAATTGCAATATATTACAAATAAAAAGGGGAGGAAAAAAAATATCTTTAAGATGCGTTTAGGGTTCTTTAACTGTGGGTTATCAGATCTTGAATAAAACATATGACACAGAGATTACAATAGCTGCGTATAGGGTTCTTTGACTGTGGGTCGTACTGTTGTGAACTAATCGAGGACTAAAAAGTTTTTGGGGAGATTCAAATATATTCATAGATTCAATTGTTAGACCAAATATTACGGGCTGTGAGAATACCGTATTAAGTAATAAAAACAAGTTAATAAAAACTAATGTTTTTGTAAAAAAGTATCCCTTATAAGTATTCTAAGGTAAATATAAGTTCAGTCGTGGTTGGTACTTTACTGCTCGTAATAACGTCTTTTTGAATGTTACGATCTATCAATCTATTTTTCTGCCTTATTATGGAAACCTGATAACACACCCTTTTGAAATTATCTTGTTTATTAATTACAAAAATAATAGATAAATTTGTAATTAGAAGTTTTGATTTGTCCTAATATTTTCTGCCTTCACTGTTTTAATGCCGAAGTGTCTGTTTCAGTCATGTTTTTGTTTACTTAGCGCTTTGAAAATAAATTCAACCAAAAGTCAAACATATCGCAACGATGATTGCAACAAACGGCAAACAAACAATAAACAATCTATCGAAAAAAATATCAACAAACAAATATGAAAAAAAAATTTACAATAAGAAAAATTAAATTTAAAAAAAAATAACACAGAAAACAGAATAATTTTGTTGATATTAAAAATGCATCCATCCACGTATCAAAGCAAAATGCTATCTTAGCTGAATGCATTTTAGTGCCATTGCATTGCTTGTTTCACTTATTCTGATATTATCAGCTCCATGCAATGACACCGTTTTAGTGCTCGAATGTAGCACTCTAATTTGGGGTAATGAGTTATGTACGCCAGCCATTACACTTCGCGATCTTATCCGTTGGGTGCGATGAGCTAGCGACAAATACAGCGTGCATGGAACGTGTAAGTGCGCACATTGTCAACACATTGCAATTAATAATCAAAATCGGTAACCGATATAGAAACACAGATACATGTCCGTATCGGAGCAGATACGGATACAGATTCAGATACTTTTGCTTCATTGAGATATTGTGTGTAAGTACATGGTGTGTAGGATTTATTTCACTTTTATAAAGCAATTAATGTGTGCGTGTACCATGAATCTCAATTGGTTAAGTGTTTATTTGCTTTTTTATCGCTTCTTTGGTGAATGTATCCATCCATACCTTCGTCTATCTGTCTCGCTGTCTCGCTGTATATCTGCATGTCTGTCTGTCTGTTTGTCCGTCTGTCCAAATGTCTGTTTGCTTATGGGTTTATTTGTATTTATATTTGCCGTTTAACGGAAATGCGTTAAAACAATCTTTTTTCTTCTGTGGTTTTCGATATCTTTTTTTCTGTTTGCTGTCATAATTGACACACTTGCGAAACATCGTCAATGTTTCTTGTATCGATGCGTTGTTAAAGTAAATACGATATGGGAAATTAAATCTCTTGTTAACACTTTTGTATGTTTCAGTGCATTTGGTAAATATTGCGAAACTTTTAAGAAAAAGAAACAAATTTTATTATTTGTAAATAATAAACAAATTGTAGTTCATAAATGACGATAAAACGAAGAAAAGTGCATTTCGTAGAATGTTAATCTTAATTACAGTTATTACTACATTGTAGTGATATTGGATATCAGGACATTAAGGTAATATAGTATTTAAAATGAACTTTTTGTATTTAACAAAAAATGGAATACTGAACTTTAGATGCAGATGAAATTAACCAATAGTTGGTAAAATGTCTTATAGTAATACCTAAAGTTAAAGCAGGGCTAAGTATATTGGGAACCATTGAGAACTTTTGGGTTTTAGAACCCCAAAAGCTTTCTTTGCTCCTTATGCTCTTTGGATTTGCTTTTTTGGCTTCTTAGGCTTTTTTGGTGCCTACTAAGCTTTTAGAGAGAATTCAAAGAAATTTAGTCTTTAATATGCTTATTAAGTAACAAAAGTAACCATCACATTTTATTAATCCTAATTTTATGTCCAGACTTCGACTCACTCATTGAACTCAACAGATTGGAACTCCAATACTGGAGCTCTGTCACTGACTTGCACCTATAAGCTTTTCTGTGGATACAAGTGCTGAAACTTTATTCGAAAAGCAATGTTTCCAGCAAGCTCACCGAACGCACACATCAACTTCCTAAGTATGGTAACAACTTCATTACAGGTATTCCCTACTCTCGCACTCATAGAAACACAATCTATCTGCCACTGCTCCACGCATAGGGCCGCTGCTTCATTCAATAAATCCAAACAACAATTTTCTGAATGAATCAAGTGTGTGAACCCTCTTGGGTTAGGTTAGGTTAGATTGATGAATTTGCACACCAAAGTCTACTTGAGTTTCAATAATGATCATTACTGCGACGTAGACATATATTGTGTCCCCTTTCATGAAATTACAGTATGTCTCCACGTCCAACTTCTTCTATAATATTTCTCCATAATTGCCATCTTAGTTGAATTTAAAAATATTGTACAGGAGTTTACTGATGAATAATTGAATTAGTCCTTGACTTCCTAAGTTAATTCTATAAGCCACAAGTTGATCATAATTACTTGAAAAATAATCGTTTCAAGTTTTAATTAACAGGCTCATATGGACTTTAAAACTCAGATCGTTAACCGTTATCCAAACATATGTCCAATCCCTTCTCAGATAATGTAAGTTTCATTGTAAGCTCAATACTTTGAAAGTTCTATTGAAATTTTTCATGATCGGTCAATAAGCCCCTAATTGGTGAACCGAATATTAATAATAGACGAGATTGACTAAGCAGTAAAGAAACACTTAACCGGTGATCTTGTTGAATAGATCAAAAACATTTCAAAAATTCAATAGAAATGTTTCGTGATTAGAGAAAACCAAAATACCATACATTTTGAAACTAAAATGAATGAACCAGGTTGAATAAGCAATAAGAAACCACTTACCGAGACCATGTTGAATAGGCATGGAATACTAAAGCAGACAAACACCTATATTTGGTTGTCACAATAATAACAAAGATGAGAATTGACATTTTTTTAACCGGATCGTGGCCAACAGTAAGTATAAACATGGTGGGATATGGGAAGGGTGCTAGTATCAGAGAGGCCAGTACAATAAGATTTCTAGATTTGGGATACTTTCATAAACTATAATCTTTATTGGATCGGAAAAGTGCTTTGTCGGTAGTGATAGGTATAAGTGTCTATAACAATATTGACGTTACATATATGCATATGTATTCATACAAGGTGTATATCAAAGTAAACTGAGCTTTTTAAATATAGATATTTATAATGCAAATACATACAATATCAAGACCAATAGATATATTGGCAAATACATACAACGAAAGGATAAATCTTTAACTGATATTTTGCCAAAACTTCACGACACTTATGCTAATGGAACTGGCCTACAAACATATATTTTTGAAATCTTCTGTTTTCTTTGCGTTCTACCTTGTATATAATATACATTCGAATGCAAATTTGAATAGATATATTATAAACAAAATATGTATAATTCAAAAAACTTACATGATAGACCTTCAAATGAATAACAAGTTTTATGTATTCGAGAGGATTTAAAAAGAGCCCATTTTTAAAATATGTGGAACACTCCAGAGGAATTAGTTTAGTCTATTTGTAGCGATAATATATGTTAGTTCTATCAATACTTAGAAATGTTTGACCAATATAATTAAATGCATATTTACATCTCATCGCTGGGTGTTGAATTGTATGTGTTTGTGTCTTCCTTTTTAGAGGAAAACCAGGACTATTTTTCTAGTTTTCATCTTCATCTTTGGTTTCAATTTTTACATTTGGTTTCTTAGGAGCTCTATCTTCACATATGGAACAACGTTTACGAGGTCCAGGCGTAAAAGGAGCATTCATATTGGCTGAATATTTTACGGATATACTCCTTCGTCTGGAACCTCTATACTTAGTAGTGGATTGTGGTTTAGAATAATTCGGCATTTTGTTTGAAGAGTAATTACTATCTGTTGACTCATGCTTTAAACGTTCGGCTTCGGTGTACTCTGCAACTGTTTGACCAGCTGTTTTCTTTGACACATTTATATTCTGAAAGTACACATCATCGAGACGTTGTGCTTCTGCTTGGGTGGTTTGTGCAGCCTCGTTTTTATTTCTTAAAGCATTAAGTTTCGTAATCGACATTTGAGATTTTGCTTCCTGCGATTGAGTTTCTGTTGCTTTTCCCTTATTAGCTGGTGATACTGCTTTTTTCACAAATGCTCCCATAACCGTTTTCCAGATTTTACTACTCGCCATTGTCAGTGTTAAATACTATAACTATTAAAATGGTATAATTTTTTTACAAATTTTTTACGAATTTAGTGAATCGTATCGAAAAGAAGTTCGAAAAGTTTTTAACGGAATACAATTTTGAATTTTGATTTTAGAATTTTTGATATAATGAAAAAAAATTTTATTAATAATACTGTTAGATTTTATATTAATTTAATTAAACACAATGGTAACTGAGGTTTTTTGTAGTGTTTTCCTTCACACATAATATATATATTTACACGTAAACAGATATATTTTCATATTATAAAAAATTGGAACTGTAAAAAAGTTCTTTTTTTATTTACACATAACATATATATTTAGTGTGTTATTTTAACATTAATATTTACTTCGGAATCGCTATGTTACATATTAAAATTATGGGATCATTATGAACATGCTCTTACAGCCTAATTGCATGTTCCCATTGCCTTCATTAAACAAGTTTAATTGATTTAGAACTTGATTAACTGTACAATAAGTTTTCAAATTCCCAGCTTAGTTAAAAATAAATTAAGGATATTACACCATAAATGTCCAATTCAACATTGCAAAATATACTTCCCGAAAGGGAAATGATCGAAATTTGATATATTTGTCATATATGACATATCAAACAAAGTATAAATAAGCAAAAAATAAACAAGTCTAAGCAACCAGAGGTAATTTTAAAAATTTGTTTATTTTTTATATATTTATGTTCAGGCTGGTTAAGTCAATGCACTTGAGCACTTTTACTCTCTATTAACTGCGAGGTTTCTTTAAAACCCCTCTCTACGCCATGACTGGATTATTGTTTATCACTTCATTAGACTAAGCGATAGTTAACCTCAGATCTGCATACCTCCACGAGGAGCCTGTAACCAATCTGAGATTTGATAACGCGATGTTGGTAAGGCTGTCACTTTTCGCTTTTTATAAATAAAATATATACTTGATATATAAAAATATATAAATAAGTTTATATATCAAATATATATTTTATATCATTATACAATTTCATATATTATTTAACAATAAATATTGATTGCAATTGGATGTTAACTGAAATGTAAATAAACAAAAGCTCTCCTAAAACTTTTACAGAACTTTCTGGCACTTAGAAGCTCTTTCACATGCTTAAATCGACTTCTATCATTTCTATGGAAACGACCTAATTTTAATTTGATTAATTTAAGTTGATTTAGCTGCAGTGTGAACAAGGTATAAGCGAGTCGTGCATTTTGGGACACGGGTTGCTATACTTACAAAGATAATCTAGTTGATTTAACCAGTTTCGAACTGAAGCTCAGATCAAAATATTCCTACTCGATTCATTATGTTGGAACAACCATACCACATGAGCTAAAATTTGTCTAACAAAATGATCAGATTAATATCACTATGTTAGTATGTGGTTAAAATATATTTTTTTGAGTGTGTTTACTTCTAATGTCTATCTTCTATGAACGCTTATTAATAATTTAAATTCAAAACAATAAGTCTATTGTATAAGTATATATTGTATAAGTATATTATTATTATAAATTACTTTTTAATTAAAATTACTAAGCTGCTTAATACATCATTATATTTTGCGTGATGAATTTATGAATTTATATATGAATTTATAAATATATAAATATAATTATACATATATAAATATATATTGCTTCTAAAAATATATTTATCAGCTACATTTAACAAATTGATTTATTTTTTTTTATATATTATCTATTTCTGTACATGTAAAGACGCCAATGTGTCTATGAGTTTCAATTATAAATCGAGGAAAATTATTTGTATTGCCAGTCCATTAAAATCTAAATAAATAAATGCCGGTCTTGATACGACAAATCAACAAATATTTTGTGTTTATTTATATCCAAAGTAAAATACAGTTTGCATTAATTATAAAATAAATAAAATATTTACATTAAAATAAATTTCAATTATTTCCATGGAATATAGTGTATTGGAGTATATTTTATAATTAAGTCTTTATTATACTTCAAAACTCTGTGTGCCAGCATTTATTTTTGGGAAAATTTTAAAAGCTTCTTGACTTGATTATATTAAAATTTGTTTCGGTTCTTAAGTGGAAGAAATAAATTTGAAGAAAATTTTAAAATATTCATATATCATTTTTCATAATTATAGGAAACCAATGCACTTTTCCGAACACATAAAGTTATGTATATGCCCGCATCTACATATCATACGTATACAAAACTTGGGCTTACTGGCATTTCCTTGCCTTGTTGTGCTAATCCAATAAATCTCGAATAATTGCCTCGAACCGGAAGTTGACTGCAAACTTGCAATCCCAATTGTGGTTTTTCTTTGTATAACAAAGATTCGTAATTTAAGCGGAAGACGTAAGATATTGTGTAATAATTCCAACATACCACACAAATAAACACTCATATATATCCATAACTATTTGAAATATAATATAAATAATTTTGAATAATTTCGAAAATATTAACAAATATTTTAAATCAATATTTACCACAGAACTTCGACTGCAAGAAAGTTTGAACCGAAAAGCACGTAATTTTGTGTTTTCCGTTTAAATAACAATGACTAAAAATTCGGGAAATAAATAAACAAGTGGAGAGTAACTTACGGAAAACGTAAAAATTGTCAATTACTGGTACGCTACGGTCGGTATGCGTTAGAGAGATATAGGAGGGAGAGGTTTTTCCTTTTCGACACAAAAGGAAAAACCGCTTTTTCCATTCGGGTACAGAAAATATAAAGGATCTTTAAGTATAGAACGAATTATAATCCATTGTAATCCAAAAATCATCCGTATAGGTATGTTTCATCCAGAAACTTACTTAGGAGGTTAAAGAGTACGAAGTTGTTAGTTATAATAAATTTAAACTTAACGTAATTGTATTTAAAATAAAGCATTGTCTATATATTTAAAATAATAATTAGACTAGAGAGTCTGATTGAGGAGTTTAGTTGCAATAAAAACATATCTGACAAATTGAGACTGGGAGGTGAATTTACTTTGAGGTACAGTGGCGTTTATTGCTCTTAAATTAAAATGAGTATGTTTATGTCTCACTCAAAAGAATCGATGTTCGAAATAATATGACATAATACAGCAATACTGTTTTGATAACAACGACTTCGGCTTATGAGTAAACCCAACTTAAAATATTTGTTGGAAGCTTACTTTTTGGGTTTCTATTAGAAGACTCAATTATGCCAACTAACAGATGTATTTAAGTTGTTAAAGCTTTCCAGAAATTAAAATTGGTACGATAATATTAAATATTTAATATCTATAGTTTATACGATCGGAACTAAAACGGGAAGGATCGGGACTATAGATTTTATATAAAAACACTTTATTCGCCGATTTACATTACATTAAAGACAAAGCGCAGGAATTGTTTGATTCCGTCAAGAAGATATGTTGGGCTTCCAATTATATTTCTATAATATCAATAATGGAACAATGTATTATCAAAATGAAAACAGACATTAATGCTTTAGACATTAACTCGCATTCCTTCAAGTAAAGCAGAAGACTAATGGCGTTTTCGATTGGTAAATCTGGATTCAATGGAACATTTTCAAAGTAGTCAACGAAAAAAAATAAATCATATCCATATAATCTATTGTCAAATATATGTGTGATTATAGATGGGTTGGTTAAATAGTTTTTGGGTATGTAATGGCCTTAATTCATAGCTGTATTTAAAAGTATGGAGAGCTTATAATATCAGTATGTGAGACATATCTGTAAATTGTTATATATTCAGTTTAATCATTAATATCCCAAGCGTTTAAATGCTTTATTTAGGAATTCTAAGAAAATCTGTCTAATATATATTATTTAGATTTCCATTTATAATACAAATATTATGGAAAAGCTCCTCAGTGACGTTTTGGCGTCAATGTAGCTCATCAATAATTCTCTAACACTTCACCATTCCAAAATTGGCTATAATTTTTCATTTTCCGCTCCTTAATAGTCCATTAAATAATTTCTGTCACATTTCACACACAAGTAGACAACAACGATTTGGCTTTATTGTTTATTTCCGTTGAGGCCGCCGCTTACCTGTTGCGCTCTTGCTGAGCTTGCTGAGCTTATGACGGCAACCTTTGGTTATAATTCCACTACCAAAAAGTAAGTCATTTGCTTTTCAGACGAAACAATTTTCTTAAGTAATTAGCTTGATTATTCATAATTTGGTTAGCGTACAAATGCTAGTTTGTATGTCAATATGGGAATAACTATGTATGTAGAAAATAGTGTACCTAGTGGGTAAGAATGCCTTTCCACGTAGAAGTATGCACATTTATTTTGTCAGCTTTTCAGCGTTCCTCAATATGGAATATGTTGGCATTCGGAAAGGGCTCATTATTTTCACAGCTGTCAACTTGACAAACCCATTTACTATTTACTTGTCAAATAACTTAACCGGCTTCATTTTTGATAACATAATTGGAACTTCTCAACGAAGTGCTTAGCAATTATATTATGTGCTTTTGACTTTTACTCCAGCGTGGATTTTATTGAGTTGAACTTCAAAAATGAAATTTAAAATTTAATTTATGATATGTATTAATAAAGAAAATGCTTAGAAGTGAGATTAGCAGGAAATATTTTTAATTGATAGGTGCTTTTAGACATGAAACTCATATGTCAATATATGAAGTTTCGATATTTTGTATATTTAAATCACAACATGTATGCAAGTTATATCTATGCCATTTCGTTTTTCAAAAGAAGTAGTTGCTCAAACAGAAATCTGATCTACAGCCAAATAATTAGACCAATACTACTTTATGGGTGTGCCGCGTATAGTAAAGCTGCCGACTCTACTATCCAGAAGCTACAAGTTGCTCAAAGTCAGGCTCCCTGAAGACTCTGTAAAGTGCCATGGTATACCCGCATGAATCACATGCTAAGAGACCTTAGAATAGATTCGGTCAAAAAATTAATAAAGGACAGAAGCCTGAAGCTATATGTGAAAACCAACAAGCTGCCCTACTTAGCACCATCTAATCTAAGGGTAATCACTCACCGCACGGGACTGTAAGCAGAAGCTTATGAAAAATACAAAAATTGTCAGTGAGATGGGTGGGAATCTGCAGAAACCCTGCAGCTATTAAAGAGTAAAAGTGCCCGGATGCACTAACTCAAAAAAGGTTCAACATTCGACAACCTCGTTTTAAATCATTGCTGTCAACTAGCAAAATGAATAATACTTTTTTCAATAGATATTATAACTAGTGTCTCGTCTTTGCTTTCTTCAATCATCTCATTGATTACAACTATCAATCGTTGTCCTCCTTTCGTGATAGGGGTTAGAATATTCCCAAGGTAAGGCATACCTGTTGTAAGAGACGGCTAAAATTCTGTAGGTACTATAACCTTTATTAACATTTACAACACCGATGTTTGTTTTCTTCATCGATTGCAACTACCAATTGATCTCCTTCCTTCAGGATAGAGGTTGGAATATTCCCAAGGTAAGGCATACCTATTGTAAGAGGTGGCTAAAATTCATTAGGTACTATAATCTTTATTAACATTTACAGCACCGATGTTTGCTTTCTTCATCGATTGCAACTATCAATTGATCTCCTTCCTTCAGGATAGGGGTTGGAATATTCCCAAGGTAAGGCATACCTATTGTAGGAGGCGACTAAAATTCTGTAGATACTATAATCTTTATTAACATTTACAACACCGATGTTTGAGTAGGTACTAGAACCTGTGCCCGGCTATCTTCAATCTCTTCATTAATTACAATTATCAATCGATGTCCTTCCTTCGTGATAGAGGTTAGAATATTTCAGAGTTAAGGCATGACTGTTATAAGAGGTGGCTAAAATTGAGTAGGTACTAGAACTAGTGCCCGTCTATCTTCAATCTCTTCATTGATTACAACTATCATTCGATATCCTCCCTTCGTGATAGGGGTTAGAATATTCCAGAGGTAAAGCATGCTTGCTGTACGAAGCGGCTAAATTTTAGTAGGCACTAGATATTGCTTGGAGTATAAATAGTAGTAGGTGAGTTTTACTTGTGACAACCCATGGAAGATGTGAAGTTCATATATATATATATGTATGTATGTATAATATATGTATATACATATATATATGATTATTTATTTTAAACAGTACCTAATGTTTTTAATGAAACCTGATAAGACTAGACCAATTAAAGTTGACAGCGCAGACGTTTCCCTCTAGCAAACCACTTAGAACAGTTAATTAAATGCGTCAGCGAGCTATTGTTTCTCACAGTGTACTTTGTGCAGTGTATTTTCTTTGGGTATAAAATTATATGCATCCTCCAATTACAATTTATGTAACTTTTTTATCTGATTTAAACTTTTTCTTTACTAATTTCATAATTTACGTTATCATTTACCTTATTTCGCTTCTTTGTTTATTTGATGTTTTAATTTTCGTGTTGTTTGTTTTCTTTTTATTTTATTTCTTTTTTTTTTTTGTTTTTGTTCTAAAATCATAAAGTTTTTCTAAAAAGGCTTTGTTTATTCGAGTGTTTGCTTAGTAAATTGGTAACAAACTCATTTAGCTGCCAAGTGCGGATACAGATACGCGTACGAATGCAGATACAAATTCAGCTTCAGATACAAGTACGAGTACGGGTACTGGTACTGGTAAGGGAATGGGTACGGGAACGGGTGCGGGTACGGGTATGGGTTTGTACTGTTTGGCGTGCAGCATGTGCGTTTATGAGCTTTTCTGTTTATTTTCTGTTTTTCAGTGTGACTCATGTAGCATTTTTGTCTTATAGATAAATAAGTTAAATAAATAAATCGTTCGTTCTCAGGCGCATTGTTGGCCATTGACACATATTTCGCGTTTATTTGATTTTATATCATATCATATTCCTTGCTTCAATTTGTTTTACTTTCTTTGATTGTACAACTTTTATTATTAAAAAAACTTTTTGTTTTGAAATTTTTATGATCGCACATTTTCTCACACTAGTTCGAGAGCCACTCACATGGGAAAATTATTTTATATGCAAATCCAGAAAGAATTACAATTGTTTATTGTTTAAAGTAAATATTTTGAAATATTTTTTTCCCTCTATAACAAATCAGATTTTGCTTCTGTTTTGCATTAATGTTATAAATTTTATTTGATTTTTATCGCTTAGAAAATGTAAGACAAAAGTCATAATTCATATATTTTTTTTAAAGTTATTGTATTAATATACAATACTGTATATGACGATATAGATTTTACTTTTCAAATTGCAGTTTCCTAACTGAAAATGCAAATATTTAATTTATCCGTTTCTAACTGAAAATTACATTATAAATAGTTTTATTGGTGTTCGAAAATGGGTTAAGTGCATTTCCATAAATTATTTTTCCGAAATAATAAAGAAAATTTAATAAAAAATGCACAAAATAAAATGTACAGTTCATGTCAAAAAGTTTCTAGAACTACTAATATAAGTATATAATAATATAAGTATAATAAAACAAACAATTCGCTATTAAAATAGGTCCCATGACTGTTAGATTAACACGTACTTTCACATATTTCTCATTTGCTATTTGAAATGTGGTTAAAAAATCTAGAATCTAGAAAAGAAACACTACACTCATTTCAAATCGGTATTTATTTCAAAGACGGATTTGTAATAAATCCACGCGAGGCGTATCCAATACCTCTGCGGATCTTTGGGTCACAGCAGCCGGTGTGAATAAGTAATTCCATGCCGTGAATGAAAGTAAAATACTAATATTCTTCCCGCAAAAGTTCAGACTTTAACCACAGCCACCACGACACTGCCAACCTCAGTTGTTCAGGACAGCTGAAGCTGTGTGCACCTGACCCCCATGATAGCAGATTTATGACTCTGGTCGGGTCTCGCAGGTGGGGATACTCACTTATTACCATTCACAGTCCAAACAGTGTTGGAATAGTGATGGTATTTTAGTCGCCTCTTACGACAACTTACTCGCCATGTCAGGTGAGTAAGATGTTTGTCCTTTTACATTCGTAGAAATGCTCCGCGAAGTGTTATGTTTTAGCTTCTAGAACAGAAAAATATCACACGGGCTCATATCATATCACACACTTCTAAAACGACTACTACTTTGTCTCATCGCTGAACACTCAAAAGTATAATTACAGAAACAACTGGTGTTAACTCATTGGCTAACAAGTCTGCTTTAAGTTTACAGATATCATTTATATCATTGAAAGCACCAATTTACGCTATTTTAGAACTCCGTTTATCTATTGAGAAGAGTTTCTTTCAATGGCAGTCTTATCAATCTTTTAAAACATTATCAATCTTTCAAAGATACACTTATCTTATTAATAGGTCGTACTCAACATTTGCGAAAATTCTACCAAATGGATTTCGATAGGATAGTTTACAAATATTTTTTATATCGATAAGTGCACAACAACAATCTATGCTTTTCTAGGTCTGGGTTTTCTAAATTGTTGAGATGAATTTCTATCAACACCAGTCTTATTGGACTTTTAAAATATATGTATATCATAGCAATGCTACAAAAAGATAACGTATTTGTATGTCTGAATAACTTAAGGTTATTTTTCTGGTTAGCTTGGTTATGTTTTCCAAGTGAACTAGGGATTTAGTATATGAACTAAGTTTAGTATATAGCATTATTTTCTTCAAATCTAAAGTAGATCGAAAAATGTTTCCATCTCTCTCATCTACTGGTTTTTGAAAATTAAAAGACACTTTGTTAATAATAGCATTTTTTATTCCTATTTAAGTATTCATCAACATTAATGAAAATAAATTCGAAGAAATCATTCATTCCTCAAGAAAAAGTTGTAAGACGATCGATTTTGGATTAGATAGACCACGTAAAGTTATACCAGTCAGTCATGTCCGAAAAATCAAGTTTTTGCTGAGTATTTCTATTTGCTGGTATTGATGACTCGATAGCTTCAAAAGAGTTGGAGGATGACTTATAATCCATATTTGATTTATATCCTTTTACAGTTTCATCCTTCTTAGTTTCCTTTTGAAGCGTTGTTGGCAAGCTCTCGTTTGTAATGTCAGTAGTTGTAGTGGAACGTCTGACATCTTTGTAATTCACAAAGTCAGATATTTGACTTTTGATTTCTCCATAACACGTTGGTGACTTAAATTTCAAGTATTGGTCTGAGTTTTCCATATTCACCACCCATTTCAGACCATTTTCCTCAACAACGTCATGTAAGCTCTTTATATACTCTTTTTTCGGTATTAGAATTTCATTATGTACGTCATCTAGACGTGATACCTCAGAACTTCTTTTCACATGTGTCGATGTGAACTTTAAAGTCGGTGTATTTGTAAAGTAAGTATCTTTTTTTCGGTGGGAAGACTGTATTTTATTATTATAGTTATCCGAGTAACTAGCAATTGATGCCGATAATGAGTTTTTATTTTGTTTCGTTTTGCGATCAGTTGGTATTAAGGCATTTTTCTTTTGACGAATGATTTCATAATAACTATTCACAATATTTGATGTGGGTTGCTTTAATTCATGTTTTCTTGTGGGTTTATCATTCACTTTATTCTTATATACTGCATACGGGCTAAGGTAATTGTTTTTCAAATTCACTTCTGATGAGTATTCCTCATCCATTCTAGTGTTATGCTCATATGGGATATACCAGTTGTAAGTCTTAAAACCATTAAGTGTACTAAAATTACATATACCTGCTTCACCCGGTTTATTGTACGATTTCACAATGTCTTCATTATCAACAATTTTTCGTTTTTCCACAATTTCAACCTTTGGAATATTTGAGTGATTCTTTGAAAACGATCGCATAAGTTTTTGCAAACAATTTAAAATTTTACGAGACATTTTGCTTTGAGACCTAAAGATTTGATGAATTTTGATATACGAATAGGTCATAAAGAGTCAAAAATAATATGTATTTTTAAATGAGATCTTAATGAAAAATAATGAAAACTCAACAGAAAAATTAATTTTTACATACCTCTATAAGACGAAAAATTTTTATACACCCGTCTATTCCAAAAAGTTGTTTTAAAATTGGGATAATTGTGTTCCAATTTTTAGAAATATACAAGGCACATTATAGCTTGAAAAATGGAATGTGAGTTCGTAAGAGTCACTGTGGGATAAGAATTGCTAGTAGTA